TTTTTCATCTGAATGCCATGTGAATGCATCTGCCAACGAAATATCGTGATTGATATTTTTCTTTCTGTTGGAATATAAACAAGGCACTCATAACAGCAGTATTTAAAAGAAACTCGAAAGCTTTCTGTATTTTATTGTCTTTATCAACGAGCTGTTGCATTCATTTAATTTGAAAGATCAATAACAGTTTTCCTTGTATTGTATTCAACGATCATTTTCCGCGACAAAACTCTCTTTTTATATTTATCATTTTGCTAGAATTTTTTGTAGAAAGAATGAAAACATTTCTTTTATTTTTTCATTTCAAAATTGTAATTGTAATTACTATTTTTTTTAGTAAGCAGTAACTTCTTTACGTTTTAATTTAGTTGTTACTTGTTCATTTTATAATTTATTTAAAGTGTATCAATCAAATGCATATTTTTTTTTAATTAATTTATTCGCCAAATTGATGTAGCAGTATATAAAGTATAAACTTTATGAAACATCTTTATATAAATCCATACAATATAATCCATTTTTATATAAATCCATTACAATATTTGTATTGATGTTGTATTTTTTTTTCTTGTAAAACTGTATATCCATCATTGTAGCACAATTTAAATATTTTTATACGATATTTATGTTTGTTTTGGTTCAAATATTGCCTGAATATTATTCATCCGCAGAATGATATAGGATTAACAATTCATCGATGCATAGTATTTCGTAATATTTGATAGATCGTAATATTTTTTAAAATTTTTATTCAGTTGTATGACGATTTGAACTTTTGACGAAATGGCAAAATGCAATATTCTCAACAGAATTTCTCTGCTCGTTATTTTCCGTGAGAATATTTAAATAAACAATGGATCCTGGGACCAATACAGATATATGGATGGAAGTTTCACTAATCTCCATAAAATCCAGAAGCTTTATCATTTTTATCATTTTTGATATCCATTTTTGGAAATTATTCTTGATTGTAAAGAATAAAGATTTGTTTCACGAAATATTCAAAAATTTCATCAGTGATCAAAAAAGCTCATAAAAATCTTCAAATGCATTAGTTATTTTGGCACTGTAGATATTCATAAGAGACATCAAATCATTCATTTTATTGATTAATTTCAATATTATTGATTAAACTATTAAAACAGTTAGAATTATCCTTATCAAATTTCGCCATTGTCTGATAAATTATCATCAGATGACAGCAATTGTATTAAGTAAAAATGATTTACATGATCAATCGGTATTTCTTAATATTTTCATTATTATGGACAATAAATCTTTTCGAAAATAATTTTTATGAAAATTATTTTGTAAAATACAACTTTATAATATATAACGCAGAAACAACAAACTACAATTTTGTCTGTTCAAATGATCTTTAGTCTTTCATATCTTCATCCAACTGATTTTTGAAGGTAGTCTTCTAATACTTCTACAATATCATCTTTTGTTTATAATTTATATGTTCTTGATTAGCTGTGCCATTCCCAAATGGAAAGTAAAACGATGTCATCAATATATTTATTATTGTTTATATATTTATATTTATTATTATTATATTTTGTAATCCAATGGTCGATGAATAATTAACTTCATCCTTAACCCTTAACAAGTAAACAATACTTGTTTTTCATTGTGTAACAATTTTGTCGTTGCATTATATTATAATTAATATTTTGTAACCATGTGGTAATTACAGCAGCATAGCGATGAAGTATGGACTCAATTAATCAAATAATGTTATATTTCCATTTCATTCTATTCTACTAAATTTTGAAAAAATTTTGTATTAGTATTTGTATTATTATATAATTTTTCATTCAAGGTTTCATCTCTTCTCAAATATGTTCCATTAAGTTTAAATGGGTAGATTAAGAAGAGCACTCTGAAACTTGTATTTCATTAGCAGACAATTTTTTATTGTTTAATTTTCGATGCATTGTCTTGTTGAAAATACTAATTTTCTGATATTTTTCTTTCAATATATAATAATATAAGTTTTTAAAATCTCTTTATATATGATATCCTCAACTTTTATAACAAGAGTAATTCTTTGAGCAGAGAAAACTCTTCAAATCATAATGCTTTCTTCTTCATGTTTAAAAAATTGATGTTTGGTACTTGGTATTGTTTCTTGTACCAGTTGAACGTGCCATATAACGTCTTTTATTGCTTCCAAAAAAATTTAATTTAGATTCGCCTGAAAAAAGTGCCGTTTTCTATTTCTTCTACAATTCAGTCACAATATTTTTTAACAAATATTAATCGGAGTATTTCACTTTTCTTATTGATTAAATAATCCTGCATCATATAATCTTCTTAATATTAGCAAGATTTTCCCCTTAATTTAACCATTTTCTTTTTCATCCGCAACTAATTTTCCTTTTATTATTTCATCGATTTTTTCCACTTGATGAATCTTCTATATCCTTCCATATCCTGCGCGATATCATCTACTATATTCTTCCCAATAAATAATATTGAAGCAATTTCACGAGAGGATCCTCTAAAGACAATTTTCTAAAAATTTTGCTTATTTCAAAGTGTCTTTCCATACCATATCTGCGATTTATAGCGGCTAACTACCAACTGAAATAATAATATTGCGTAATATTATTTGAATGTAAAAATTTATTGACTTTTTACAGATTTATAATAAAAATTGGCTGGGAAATTTTGAGCATGTTAATATAACATTTTTTTCAAATAAATGCGTATGAAAAATAAGTAGTATATATGCTTCTGTATAATATTATTATACATATATAATAAAAATAAAATTAATAAATTATATTATTGATAAAAATTATTAATAATAAAAATCTCTTAAAGCTTTTCTTTTGGAAAAAAAATTAAAGAAACTGGTTTGGAATTTTTGCACGCCATTGTAATTGATAATCGCGCTACAAATATTATTGCTAATCATATAAAACATCAACGACAAATAATAATTAATTATGATTTTGCAAAATTTCTTATTTGTTTCAAAAATGAAATTACGGCGTATCGTAAATGACGGTGTACAATTCGTATGTTTTAATCGGTACACGAAATTTATCATTTCAATATTTTTTTTAAAATCAACAATCTGAATTTTGGACAAATATTTACCAATACGTTTTTGCAATATCTATGAAAAAAAAGATGCGATTCGAAAACAATATTGAAATAAAATCGCTCTGCAAAATAAAATCCACGAGTTGTCATTTAAAAAACGACGAAGCTTTCAAAAACTCGAATATTTCATTTATTTAAATACTGCATAATGTAAATAATGGTTTCCTATTTACAATAGTGTTCAAAATAATTCACGATTAAATATTTTATATTTATCCATAAATTTTCCATATCATTTTGAAAATTTCGAATTTTTAGAGAAAACTTTTTTTCCATGTTAAATAATCTTCGATTAAATTTACGTATTTTATAATGTTTAAATCAATTTACAGATATCAATGTTTATCGATCTCTTCGGAGAGGAAAGATTTCCGAACAGTCAGTTTTAAATGAGCTCTCGAGAAATATTGAGATCGGTAAAACTATTCTGTCGTTATTTTATGATTAAAAAAATATTGTATATATCATAAAATTTGTATTCAAAATTATGCAATTTATTAATTTAAGAGATAAATTAATTTATTAATTTAAAAAATAAATAGTATGATAGAAATAAAGAGTGTAATTTCCAAAAATGGAGAGGTTTAGGAATGATTCTTGAGATAATGAGAGTAGTGATGATGGATTGAAATTTATAGTATATAATGAAATGAAAATATGAAATATATAATGAAATGAAAGTGACATTAGTGACGATTACATATTTCCTTCTAAGAGTCGGAACGTACTAAGAATTGACAGTGATACGGAGAATAATGAAAGTGATAACGAAGAATATTTAGAACAAATAAAGAACTCGAGTAAAAATTACGAATAGAAAGACAGAAAAAGACGATTTGCGTTTCAGTTTCACGTTCAAAACTTCTCCGCCAATCATAGAACCACAAATATTTCAGGATATAATAAGATTATTGGACTCTTTCAAATTTATATTTCACGATATACTGATAGATCAAATAATAAAAATGATTAATGAATATGCACAAATGAAGATATGTGAGAAACAATTGACCAAAAGGTCTATTTGGCATTCATGGATGAACATTACAGAAAAGAATTTATAGCCTTCATCGATGTAATTCTAAATATAGGGATAATGCCACTTGCAAGCATATCAGAATATTGGACAACTAGGAGCAACAGTAGAATTCCTTTCTATTCGGAGATATTCAGAAGAGTATTCGATTCCAATTTTCTATATTATAGATATATTATAGATATTATAGATAGATATATTATAGATATTATATTTATGAGACAATGCATCTTCTAATGCATCTTTGAGAATCCGAATTGGAAAGGCAAAAAACTTTTTGCAATATATCGACTCGAAATTTGCAGAACGAAATTTTTATACCTGGTAAGAATATTTATATTGATGAATCGTCATGTTTAAGAGAAAAATTGCATTTATAACGTATAACCTAAAAAAATCGATCAAATGGGGCATAAGAATTTCCAGATGGGAAACCTACTATGGAAGTTTGACAAGTGTTTAGAGAATTTAGAGAAACCAGAACTTTAGCTCTCGAATTCCATTAATCCTAGTTAAAAAACTTCTGAACAACATTCTAAATGCTATCATTTGTATAGATATTTTACAAATATCCCGCTTGCCAATGAACTTCTAAAAATAAAAATCCATTTAACTGATACAGTACTGCCAAATCGTAAATATTTGTCAGTTGTAATTAAGAAACCGAAATTTTCAACAAAGTCGACTGTGGTTTATAAGAAGGAAAATACATTAGTCTTCGCATGAAAAAGCAAACGAATCTTAATTTTAGAATCGATTATAAGGAGAACACGCGATAGTGTCACAATAAATTTATCGAAAAACCAATTGTGGCTATACATTATACCAAAAAAATGAGAGAATTGATCATATGCAACAACGTATCGTTTCCTTTGAAAATCCCTTAAATGATGAAGAAAGTTATTTTTTATGGAGATGTGCATCATCAATGTATACATAATGCATAAAATAATGAAACAATAGAACAACTATAAACCTAAAACACTTTAAATTTTGTGGAATGTTTAGTCGATAAGTTAGTAGGAAATTTTCGATACCGAACGCCATCTAGCAAGCGCAACCTTCAACATCATTCTTAGACGTTAGATTAAATAATCATATGATAGCTTCATATGATTCTTTCAGAAAACAAGAAAGACTGTGCAGTATGTTCCAACAGGAAAAAGACGAGAAACACACACTGTGATATCTGTAAAATCTCGAAAGCCAGGACTTCATATGATTGTTTTGTAAAATATGCTTTAAAAAATTACAGAAATTAAAAATTTATATTTTTATATATTATAAGTATTATTACATATAATAAATGACGAGAAACACGCACGTACTGTGATACCTGTATTTGAAAGCCAAGACTTCATATCGGATTGTTTTGCAAAATATGCTTTGGAAAATTACAGAAATTAAAAATTTATATTTTTATATATTATAAGTATTATTACACATAATAAATGACGAGAAAGACACATACTGATACCTATATTCGAAAGTCAGAAGTTAATATCGGTGATTGTTTTGCAAAATATGCTTTGAAAAATTATAAAAATTAAAAATTTATATTTTTATATATTATAAGTATTATTAAATACAACAAATTAGTTTCAATAAGTTCTGTTTTCTAACATCCCTATATTTGTTTTTAATCACTTAGAGAAATAACTAAGAAGTTAAATTTGCTCCGACTAGTTGATACATCAGAGAAATTTATCAATTATGCGAATTTGAGGATTATAATTATCTTCAATTTTCCAAAAGCAAGATATTGAAGCTAATTATTCGTAATATGATAAGCCTTTGCTGATCATTTGTCTTATCAATATAGAATATTCCCAAGCATTCAATTCAGTCGCATTTTTTGCTATGTTAATTTTCCTAATATTTAACTTATTTTATATTTAATCTATATTTAATGTCTATTTGTTTCATTTATTTTCTTTTTTCTTTTTTTTTTTTTTTAAGTTGTTCAATGCATACAAACTTTTAAAATAAACCGACACAACTTATAAATAAATCTACAGTTTTAGTTTATGAAATTCTAGATCAGAAAAATTTTATTCCATATTAAATTAGCCTATCTGAAGTATATTTTAACATTATGGATGTTTAAATATGTATAGAATTCGCGATCTTAGACCTTCACTCGTTCGTGAAACTCTTCGGTGATGAAATTAATCTGAGAATATATGTTTAGAAAGGCATTTTTTCATTTTAATGCAATATTCTGTCTTTCATGTACACGACTATAGAAAGAGATGATATATATATTATGGAATTAGAATGAAAATTGGAAAAACAAGAATACGCTAGAATTTAACTCGGCTTGGACTCGATTTTCGCGAATTGTTTCTAATTCTAATCGTATGTTTTATTCTTCTATTTATCTTTTACATCTATATTCGCATAACGTGTGATGCACTGCGCATGCAATTTTTACTATTATACCTCGAGCGGAGACAATTGAAACAATTTTGGAATTATTTAATTATTTGTTTATTATTGTTTTTAATTATTGTTTTTAGTTATTTGTTTCTTGTTGCATTTCAGGGACGGATATTGATAATTTAATAAGAAAACTAATGGTTTTTATTGCAAAATTTATTTCATTATTATACCTGTATTTATCTTTTTCTCCGTTGCAAAAATCGAGCACGTTGTTGTTCTATGAAATTAAATTAAATTAATATCAATTAAATTAATATCAATTATAATTTAAAAATTAATATTCATGATATATAAATATTTCTCATTTGTCAATATACAATGTATCCAATTTCTTAGAGAGATGGTTTTTCAACGTTTTGCAAGATTGAGCAAAAATTTTAACACGCATACCGGATTTGTTGCTCAATTAATGAATTCACTGAACATAACTCAATGAATTCAATGAAATGCGGATTACTTTCTCTTAAGTAATATTATGAATAGCATGATGATACAGGAATAGAATCTTTGAATCGATCTTTCAAAATTTTTCCTACAATTTGAAAATTCACTAGTTAAATAGTGAAATCTTTCAATATCACTTAATTTTTCATTATTCTTATACATTCTTATACATAAACTCTTAATGAAACAAATGTTGTAAAATGAAACAAATATATCAAATGTATCCAACCATTGTAATCTCCATTTAAAATCTATAAATGGATTGTTAACAATTGTGTCACAATTTTTAAACTAAAATATTAAAATAATTAAATATTAAATATAGTACTAGATATATTAGATATAATATTAAAAATATTAGATGATACAACAAATTGTTTCGAATATTTCTCTAAAACTAAAAATCTACCCTTATTACACATGATTTGAAATTGAACTATATTATGATCATCATAAAAATCTTTTTTGTCTTCTTTCGACGATCGCAGTATTAGATTCGGAAAATTAGATGCCTACGAATCATTTAGAAACATCACAACATGATATTGAG